AGCTAAGTCAAGCCAAACCAGCCATTCCTATCCCTACTATATTATATATTATTACCAAAAAGGTTCATCGCTATCTTTTGCTTAACTTTTCTACTACCTTTGAATCATCACTGAGAACCGTACTCGCAATTGGATCCTCCCATATAAGTGTGGAAACATCTACTAAATCATCTATATTTCTAAGGAGAGCATCATAGAGGCTTACATCCGCATCTGTCATATCTGTCATGGGAGAATTGAGTCTTGATTTCAATGTTCTAATATTTTGATCAATTTCTTCTTTCGTATAGTCTAGATCCTCTTGTTTTATATTTAGTGCCTTTAATGCATTTAGGCCAACGATAGAATTATATCTGTCCTTCATCTACAGCAGATATAATAAATTAAGAATTAATATGTGATCACATTTTTATAATAAGTAGTGGATTATGATCCAACATCCCCAGGGATTCAGTAAACAGATATAACTTTCGAAATGATCACGCATGGCCAAGGGGGAGCAGAAACCCTCGATGTCATGAGGAAAAATTCCTGGCTACATCGCTCTTCCGGGCCGGCATTCCTCGAACCTTAGCAATGGCAACTTATACATCTGCTGTATTTCATCATTAATCAATTTACAAAAATTGTAATAATATTTGTTATAAAACTAACCTGTGGTAATATCTTTAAAACCTGAGATTTTTGATTATTATCTTTAATCTTTGGTAACACGGAAGTAACTGCATTATTGGCCAAAGTTCTAATAGTGTCATATTCATCCACTTTATTACCGTTCATTGTTAAATAAAAAATCGAAGCACTGCAAACGGCTTCTAAAGGTGCTTCTAGTAAAAGAGATTCGATTTTTGCTTTTAATGTTGACATGTTGAAAAAAATTAACAATTTTAATATACAGTAGAATGCGTAAGATAGCGATGAACCTTTTTGGTAATAATATATAATATAGTAGGGATAGGAATGGCTGGTTTGGCTTGACTTAGCTTAAAAAGCCAGCTCAAGCTGGCTTAAGCCAGCTTGATTTTTATTATATAATATTTGAAATTAGTAATTTTAATATCGAATATTGATTATGGCCTAGGTTATGCTCACTATTAAGATACTAAAATCAATCGTGACCTAGATCACGCTTACTATTAAGATTGCCATAGTCAATCGTGACCTAGATCACGATCAATATTCAATATTAAAATTATCAAAATCAATCATGATCTAGGTCACAATCAATATTTGATATTAAAATTGCTAAAGTCAATCGTAACCTAGGTCACAATCAATATTCGATATTAAAATTACTAAAGTCAATCGTGACCTAGGTCATGATCAATATTCGATATTAAAATTACTAAAGTCAATCGTGACCTAGGTCACGATCAATATTCGATATTAAAATTACTAAAGTCAATTGTGATCTTGGTCATGCTCACTATTAAGATTGCCAAGTCAATCGTAACCTAGATCACGATTGACTTTAGTAATTTTAATATTGAATATTAATCATGACCTAGGTCACGCTGCAATTAGATAAATCTCAAATCATTCAGTTATAGTTTTCAATTATAGCATTATTAATATAAGTTGTGTAGATCGATATGGTATAAGTGAACAGATCCGTATTGTACAGACCGATTTATAAACTATACTGATCTGGCATTATAGATATATATATTAAGGTTAGAAATTATAGCTGATTAATGTTGGTATGGCGTAGTTTTTAAAAAATTGGGCCTGTACTATCTGCAAACCTATACCATACCGATCCGCTGTAATTTTATTCGAGTTGACAAAGTCAAAGGATCAAAAAGGTGCTAAGCAGCAGTAATGTGCTCTGTGAAAGTGGCAACGGGAACATGATCAATCCAGCATAGTTATGATTCTAAATGACCTTCCGCATATAGTAATTCTAA